ATATACAAAAGGCACCATGCAAAATACATTATGCATATACAAGTATACGACATAAACATATCACGATTGCATGTAGTTAGGGATGAGTATACATGTTACATGCATCCTCATCAAACACATGAATGTACCAAATGCATATACATTATTGCATGCAAAGTGCATATTGCAATATGCATCATACATACATATTGTACGCTACTACATTAAGCTACCGCACAACATGCAAAATATCATGCAATCATGACTAGACCTAAGATCCATAGTCAATACAAATACTTGTAGACAGTACTAGAAGATTTGTATTCAAAGCAACTTGCTAGTAGATGATAGTGGAAGACTGAAAATGCATACAACAGTCCTGTTTACAAGCAATAGTGGGGAAGTCGCACTAGACATAATGCAATAACTATAGCTCTTAAATACATAACGCTGAATCATGAACGATGTCAAATGAAGCTTGCAATGCACAAAAACTCACTCATAAAAAGCAACAAGCAACCCATAGCACAACACTACAATTCACATCTAAGTGAAAGAAGGAAATTTGTAATAAAAATTGTGTTCCACTAGTAAACTGAAGCAGCAGATTTGCGATGCCATGCTGTCACACTAGATAAATTAGCTCCCATGCAAGCAATAAGTAGAAGACTCTTGATGCAATGTGTAGCCCATTTGCAAATAAAAATACACTCCTGTAAGTAAAGTACTGAAGAAAACAACAGCTTGCAGAAGATAAAATGAGCTAAATTACATTGTTGACGATTTGCATATACATTGTTGTAATATACAAAAGGCACCATGCAAAATACATTATGCATATACAAGTGTACGGCATAACCATATCACGACTGCATGTAGTTAGGGATGAGTATACATGTTACTGGCATCCTCATCAAATACATGAATGTACCAAATGCATATACATTATTGCATGCAAAGTACATATTGCAATATGCAATATGCATCATACATACATATTGTACGCTACTGCATTAAGCTACTGCACAACATGCAAAATATCATGCAAGCATGACTAGACCTAGGGGTGTTAATTTGTGACACGACCTGAAACCCGACACGGACCCGACCCGAAAAAATCCGAGTTCGGGTCGACCAGTTTATGAAACGGGTCGGGTTCGGGATGAACAAACCAACCCATTTCAAAAATCAGGTCGGATTCGAGTTGACCCGGCAACCCGAAAATGACCCAAAAATCCTCTGCCCTCGTCTGCTACCCACCCTGCCCGAAGTGTGGAGTGCCCGCCAGCCCAGCTGCTCGTGTTGCCCGAAGCGTAAAGTCGCGGTCCCAATCGCCAGTCTGTTCACGTGCACTATGTCGAATCGCGTCTAGTAGTCTAGCGCTATGTCGCTTCGCGCGAGTCTCGACGTTCGCTTGCTGCCGCCGCACCACCATGCCGTCGGGACCAAAACTGAAAGTAGTGACCGGAACCCGCGCCTTTGAGATTTATTTTCAAAATTCTGTGTCGGGTCGTGTTGACCTGAACCCGATCCGGGTCGAGTTCGGGTTCAGAGAATTGACCCGAAACCTATTTCAGGTCGTGTTCGGGTCAGGTCAGATACAACCGGGTCAAATTCGTGTCTGACCCGAACACGACCCGCCAGACCACATGCAAATGTGTCGTGCACACCCACTACACTGCATAAATACAAGTACCATGCAAATGCAAAATGCCACATACACGCATGCCATGCAAATTCACTATTACTATGTTCGCACATTAAACCACAATGTTGCATATTGATATATCATGCAAGATGCAAATACATATGCCAACAGACACGTATCATGTAAACACATCATGCATGATACAAATACACATGCCAACATACAAATAGATGCATGAGGGTGTATGTGTAACATGCAGATGTGTCGCATACATTCATCGCACTGCATACATATAACCGCCACATAAATACATCTTGCAAAATACATACAACTAAATGCCCATATGGGCCTCAGCAAGTGTATTATGTGTGCACACGTGACATTTGACGATGTTGCACGGTCAAGAAATGAACTTAAGTTCGAGTCTGATCCTTCTATATGAATGGATAGGAGTTGACACGGTTTGATCCATCAAATAAATATACAGTTGTGACATCACCGAGATATTTGTTTTATACATTCATATTAGGCCTTCAACAAAAAAATTTCATTAATAAAAGCATAAGACCGACAACAAACCCGATCCTTAGTCGGCAAGTTGACAATGTTCAACTAATAACATGAAATCGCCCATGAATACCCCGATGTTGCCATATTGACAGAAAATCTCAACCGGATGGGCCGTCAGTTGGCAGGAAGAGGGTGATGGCGGGGCTTCCAAGAACTGGACGAAGGCATATGATTGCTAGAAATAGGTTGATTGCCGCTAGGAGGGAGGCTGATGAGTGGCTGAAAGGGAGAGAGGGAGGTTTGACCACCACCTGGAAGAATTCCAGGATACATGATACTAGATGCTGCCTCTCTAGCCATGCTTCTAATTCTCCAAAATCTGAATTCTCTGTTAAGAACTCCTCTATTAATAAGTTTTTAAAGGCAAGAAGAGTAAAAAAAAAAAAAAAAAAAAAGAAGGAAAAGAAAAAAGAAACAAACAGGACAAACAAAAAAAAAACTAGGAGGAGGTTTAGGAGCCGGATAGTTTTGTATATAATTTCCTTTACATCCGTTAAATACACTTCAATTTTTTTCCCTCATGTTGTGAGATTACTAATGTACTAGGCAAATGTGGGATCATAAAAAAATGACAATGTTCAAGTCAAACTAGGTATTAAATTATGGAATTTAAAGAGAGTATGTACCAAGTCAGACAGTAGCATGTACTGCTGAAAGTGTCCTATGTCTCTCCAACGTGAAATAGCCATCCACTGGTAATAAAATCCTATTACAAGACACAATTTGTCCCCAAAATTAAATTTCATTTCCACTGAACTATGTTTGCTAACGATTAAATATCTTATAGCTGAAGGCAAGTATGCTACTTGTGAGCCTATATTAAATATCTGGACAATTGAATTGCAGAAAACACACAAACTAAGCATTTGGATTTCAAGCTATGTAGTATACAGCATCTTTGTTATGAAAAAAAAAATTTAAGTAAGAATGTAAGGGTCTGCATCCTGTGAGATTAATTTCAATATATTAAAATAAAAAACAATGAAGAAAACTAATGCATAAATATTCTTACTCAATTTGTTAACTATTAGCTCTATTGTGCAAGACAATGAAGCTTGAAAACTATAATAATCTGTCAGCTGAGGTGTTGATCATGAACAATCTAGAGCTCAACCACAAACAAATTTTCGTGAGAAAAGGACCAAATTGGTACTCTAAGTTTTCTGAAGGGTCAAAATAGTCCTCAACTATATAAAAGTACCAATTTGGTCCAATAACTTATTAAATAAAGCCAAATTAGTTCTTCTATGAATCATTCAGATATTTAAGAAAAGAATGTATTTTTAAATAGTAGATGACCATTTTGATCTTTTGTGAATAGTCAATGGATCATTTTGGTCCTTATCTCAAATTGTCTTTATCATGGAACCAATTTTAAGCCCTACCATCATATTATGAAAAATAAATCTCTAATCTTTTATGCTATTTTGCACACTCGCATATATATTTTTCAGGTATTTAACAAGTAGTTGTTATATTATAACCAGTGAACTCATATCTCGTGGGCCTCGCAATGAAGACTGGCTTGAGGGTCATCAAATCCAACTCGATCAAGCATTCAGAGAGGAGTCACCTCTCACAAGAAAGCCAAGAGTTCATACAGATCACTCAGATCAAAACTCGCTCTCCAACAAAGCCATTTGCAGCCACCTAGGGTGGAGTGCCATCAATGCCATCAATCATTAAAGCTACAGGGAAGGGCCTTTTTAAGAGGATTCCAGCTCGCCATACCATACTCATCCGACAATGGAGTCAACTACCCCCGTGGCCAGCATATACTTCCCCCCACATCGAGGTGATTGATGGATTTCATCAAAAGATTCGCTAATTCTTTCAAAGGAGTCATCAACAACAACCTTCTTAATTCGGCCCTATTTGGTGGACTCGCTTACATGCACTCGCCCATGAGTCTCATCACAAGGGGAATCTCCCCAAGACCGAAGAATTGAATTAAAAGATAGTTATTCACAAGACTTATCAAGTCTTGATATGCATCCAGGGCAGTCCGTACTAGGGGCTATTTAAAACTGTATTTTTATTTCTTTTTTATGTAGCCTTTCTTGTAGCCCTTGGATTCTTATAAATAAAGAATGAAGAGGAATATTTCTGACCTTTTGTCACTTTCTAAAAAGACTATTGAGATAGCGAAACACTTTCCCCATATATTCTTCCTCTCTTTCCATGCTCACTACAGGTTTGCAAGTATGTGCCTCTTAGCTTGTCTGCTAGTTTAAGGTTGGGTGTCATCAACAGACATATTTGGGTTCAACACTTCTCGTGTCCTATCTTATGATGTGTCATGCCATCATTTAATTTTGATCATTATTGTCTAGCTTTATTCTACTTAGACAAGTTATACTACACCAAATTTTAAATTAGATTCAATAAAACAAATGTAAGCAGCATTCCCCATGAAGCCCAAAAGATACACAAACGGTGCCATATGAAAGCCAACATGTTAGTTTCATTATATGAAAACAAAAATGATGCAATTATTTTACCAGAAATAATTGAAATACACATATTAAAAGATCAATTACATTCTCTAGGCTTTGTTTTTCTACAAGGTAATATAGCATTATACGCATGAATAAAAAGATAATGTAAATAAAAATGCAAACTCCTATATTTAATTCATGCTAGAATATTGAATCATTGGTGTATAATTCAGTACAGTAAATATCAGAAGTCTCGTTATAAATGTTCTATTGTGGACTAGAAAAAGTTATAAATTTCAAATATGCTGAACATATTATACATCAATGCAGAAAAAATCCTGTGAATTGAAAGTTAAACAACATACCCAGTACGACAGGAGAGGGTGAATCCCATTTAGCAGGACTTCTATAGTCCAGTTTTCTACTTCCCAAAGCTCTCTTTCTCTTGAAACTGAAAACGGGTAAGCTTTTTCTCCCCATACTGATATCATATCGAAGGCATCTGAAGCTATAACCTTACCTGTTGAATCCAAAACCACCATTATAGGATCTCCTCGGTAATGCCACACCTCATGAATAAAGTTTATCACTGATAAGCTAAGTTTTGTAGGCTGATTGATAGAGTAGAATATCATTATCTCTGCTAGATGACTAAAGGCTCTCTCATCAATGTTAGACTGTGTTGCAGTGGTTACGATAGGAACCCAAACAATTTCATATGGTTTCTCTTGCCCATTCCTGGAGTAGCTTTGTAGTTGTTGCATGATAAGGAGAAACCTATCAAACTTCACTTCAGGCTTTGAGATGAAGAGGAGGATTTCTTTGTTTTGTAGAATAGAAACGCCTACCTATACAGACATATTAAACCGGACTAGCTATAAAAACATAATCAACTGTATGGAGTGAATGCATATAAACCTTCGATCTTGAACTTTTCTATATATGCATGTTGGATCCATGTAAAGGAATCATTAGATCCATTGATGCTTTTCCCATTATAAATCACCAAACTACAAAATCATTCCCAGAACTTTTAGCAAACCTTTTGATTTGAGAACGCATCCAAAAGTGGAAAGTCATCCTTAGGAGCAAATAAGGTGCGAAGAACTTTTTGATTATCAACATGGACCTCCTCAAACAAATGCATAAGCTGTGAATCTATGTTTTTCTCTGCACAAGAAATAAAAGAGAAATAATTTTATAGTGCACATTTTAGTACAATTAATCATTTCTTAAGACAACGTGCAACTCTCATCAAGAATGAAGGATGAATGATGATATCTAAAGCCAATCCCAAATAATTGGGATAAGATTAATGATGATAATGGTGATCTTCCGTCATGCAATATAGGTATGTTTGGCATGACTGTAATGTTTTCTAAAGATGTTTATGAAGTTGTTAACGGGAAAGTAACTTTATAAAGTTATTGTGGATATCAATATACATATAAATCATGTAGTTGCTTTCTTAAAGCTGCCCCATATTAACAACTCTAATTGTAAAAAGTAGCTTCCCGCCACAAAAAATTCTAGAAACAATGTGAAAGTAACAAGTAAGTATTAGCCAAATTGAATTGAGTTGCAGTCTGAAAATCAAAGCAGTAAGAAAGTGATAGGAAATACTTGATTTCAAGTATTTCCTAACCACTTTGGAAGCAATAATCAATGAAACCTGCTGTCCACAGCAGAAAATGACAACAAAACAGTGGAAGAAACAGCAAATCTGAGAGAAATAGTGGAGAAATAACTTGTAGTTTACTAGTAGATGAAAGAAAAACAGTAAAGATACAAGAGATCCTCTATTTGAGAGGAGGATCACACTCTCCCAATCTCTAGATATCAATCTAGAGCCTTAGCCACAAGAAAACCCAAGAGAACTTTCAGAAAAATCTCATATAACCCTAACCCTAGCCTTTTCTCCTTACTTAATGCATACAATTCAAAATTAATACAAAATGACCTAATTGCCCTTGCTTCTCCTCTTTTTGGCTCCAAGATTGTATTTGAATCTCAAGTGGACCCCACCCTTTCTCCCCTCTTTGAAGCCGTTGGCCCCCTTCTGCTGTAAACAAGCCGGACCAGCCCAAGGGGCTGGGCCGGTCCATGGAGGACCGGTCTAACATTACCGCCCTCCCAAAGAACCACCTTGACCTCAAGGTGGAAGTCAGGAAACTGTCACTTCATCTGCTAGTATGGCTCCCACGTGGCCTTGTAGTCAGGGAGGTTCTTCCATTTGATCAGGACTTCTGTAGCTCCATCTGCTTTCTGACAAACCTCCATGAGCTCCAAAGGTTCCAATATCATTTCCATTTCATCAGTTAATGTCCCTGGTAACTCAGAACTGGTAACATAATCTCCAATAGCTCTTCTTAGCTAGGATACATGGAAAACGGGGTGGATCGTCGCTGTCGGTGGTATCTTCAGACGATTCATGGCTCCAATTTTCTCCAACACTTCATAAGGACCGAAGTACCTTGGAGCAAGCTTCTCATTCTTCCGGTTGGCGACCGTTTTCTGTCGATATGGACGGAGTTTCAAAAATACCTTCTCGCCCACTTCAAACTGAATATCCTTCCGATGCCCATCAGCTTGTTTCTTCATAATCTTTTGAGCCCTCAACAGATGTATTTTTAACTCTTCCAGATCTTATCCCTCTCCTCCAAATACTCCTCCACTAAGAAACGAGCGTGCTGCTACTCCCAAAATGCACCAAGTGGGGCGGATCCCTTCCGTACAACACCTTAAATGGGGTCATCAGAGAGGCTGAATGAAAAGAGGTGTTGTATCAGTACTCGGCCCATGATAGCCATTTAGCCCATAGCTTGGGTGTCTCCGATGCGAAGCATCTCAGATAAGTTTCCAGGCTCCGGTTGACTACTTCTGTTTGACCATCCATCTGTGGGTGGTAAGCAGTACTCCTTTTCAGCACAGTCCCCTGCAGTCTAAACAATTCTTTCCAGAAATGACTGAGGAACACTTTATCCCTATCTAATACTATCACCTCTGGCACTCAGTGTAATCTGACTATCTCCCTGATGAAAATTGACGCTATTGTCACCGCAGTGTATGGATGGCGTAGAGGAATAAAGTGAGCATATTTGCTCAATCTATCCACTACCACCAAAATCACAGTGAATCCCTCAGAGCGGGGTAGCCCATCAATGAAGTCCATAGATATCTCCTCCCAGACTCATCCTGGTAACGCCAATGGCTGCAGTAACCCCCCTGGTGACATAGCTAGATACTTATTCCTTTGGCACACCTCGCACCTGGATACCATCTCTTCCACATCCCTATGCATACCTTTCCAGTACAGCTCTGCCGCTAGTCTCCTGTAGGTCTTTAGCACTCCTGAATGACCTCCCACTACAGTTCCATGGAACTCCTAGAGCAATTGTGGGATGTGTACTAATGTTCTGGGTAACACAAACCTCCCCTGGTGCAACAATCTCTCCCCCTCCAACGAGTATCCTGGATGGCTGCCCTCTCCCTTTAGTAAGTCAGCCCTGATCTTGCCTAGTTCCTCATTCCTGACACTTTCCTCCTTTATGGCTTCCCAATCTAACATCATTGGGACTGATACAGCCAGTGTCTGCAACTCCCCCATGCACCTGGACAAGGCATCTGCTTCCTTTTTTTCTACCCCTGACCTGTACTGAATCTCAAAATCATATTCAAGCTGTTTGGATAGCCACCTCTGATGCTCCTCTGTCACCATGCGCTGCTCTAGCAAATATTTCAGGCTCCGTTGGTCGGTCCTGACGATGAAATGTCTTCCTAGTAAGTAGGGGTGCCACTTTTGAATGGCCAAAATGATTGCCATCAACTCCCTCTCATACGAAGATTTCAGCCGGGCTCTGGCAGTCAACACCTGACTGAAATATGTAATGGGCCTGTGACTCTGCATCATCACTTCTCCTAGTCTATATCCCGATGCATTTGTCTCTATTATAAAGACCTGCGTAAAATCCAGAAAAGCTAAGACCGGAACTGTGGTCATAGCTTTCTTCAGCTTCTCAAATGTTGTCGTAGCTGCCTCCCCCCATAAGAACCAATCTTTCTTCAACTGCTCAGTGAGTGGTCAAGCTATAGTGTTGTATCCCTTTACAAATCTTCTGTAGTACCCTATAAGCCCTAGGAATCCCCTCAACTCCTTTAGATTTTTGGGCAGTGGCCACTTAAGCATGGCCTCAATCTTGGACTGATCTACTGCTACCCCTTCCTTGGATACCACATGCCCCAAGTATTCCACACTAGCTTGCGCGAAGCAGCACTTCTTCAAGTTATCCCTCAACTGGTGCGCCTGGAGAACCTCTAACACCTTCTTTAAGTGTCCACAATGCTCCTCCTCTGTTCTGCTATATATTAAGATGTCATCAAAGAATACCAACAGAAATTGCCTGAGATACTGCTTGAACATCTTATTCATGAGTGCCTAGAACGTGGCTGGGGCATTGGTGAGGCCAAAGGGCATCACTAGGAACTCATAGTGGCTCTCATGAGTTTTAAAAGCGGTCATGGGCACATCTTCTTTCTTCATTCGTATCTAGTGATATTCTGATTTCAAGTCAATCTTGCTGAAAATTACTATTCCACTCAACTCATCCAGAAGCTCATCAATCACTGGTATGGAAAACTTATGAGGTACAATTTCCTTGTTGAGTGCGCGGTAGTCTACACAGAAACGTCAGCTGCCATCCTTTTTCTTCACCAATATAATAGGACTAGAGAACGGGCTAGTATTGGGCCTGATGATCCCTGCTTCCAGCATTTCTCTGATCAACTTTTCTATTTAATCCTTCTGAAACTGAGGGTAACTGTAAGGTCGTACACTGACAAGTGACACTCCCTCTCTTAATGTGATGGCATGCTCATGCTCCTTGGGTGGTGGCAACCCTAGAGGTGGTTGAAAAATCTCCTCGAATTCCTGGATAAAAGGCTGCACAGAGAGTGGTATATCTCCCCCTTCTTCTACACTCACTCTCTCTAATCTGTGTAATTCCACCAAATAGCCTTCCCCCTCCTGAATTATCTTGATTAGGGATTTAAGAGAAACCCCTGCCTTGGTCAGCCCCGCATCACCTTGAATCACCCTCTTCCTTCCACCCTTCACCAACTCCATCCGCAGAGTGCCCCAATTGATCTTGGTTTCCCCCAATGTCTGCAACCACTTCATCCCTAGGATGACATCCGTACTCCCCAATTCTAGGGGAAGGAAGTCTTCCTTCACTTGTATACCTTGGATCTTCAGCACCACTCCCCTACAGACTCCTCTTCCCATTTCTACCTTCCCCATGCCCATCATCACCCCATAGCCTCCAGTATCTACTAACTTCATCCCCAGCAGCTCCATAATCTGGGTGGAAATGAAATTGTGGGTTGCCCCACTATCTATCAACACCACGACTCCACGGTCAGCTATCTCTCTCTTCACCTTCATAGTGTGACTCGGAGTGAATCCCACTACGGAGTTTAGAGAGACTTCTGCCATGTCCAGATGCATCTTTTCCTCCACCTCAGAATCACTTCCCCCTCCCTCTTCGTCTTCCTCGTCTTCACAAACGAGGAGAACTTAAAGAGTTCGATCCTTGCACTTATGCCCAGGCATGTATTTTTCATCGCATCGAAAACACTGCCACTTTGCTTTCTTCTCTTGCATTACCTTCTCAGTAAGCTTTTTGAACTATCCCCCATTTCCTCCTCCTATTGATTTTTCCTTTGGAATTTTTTATCCCTCTGTTGGATGCTCCTTTAGGGACTAGGTGGGTAGTCGTCCACCTGTAAGTGCCTCCTGAGTTGCTATTCCTAGCTCCCTTCTCCATATTCTTTCGATTTTCAACCAATTGTGCAAGCTTCATGGCCTCCCCCAGGTCCTTGGGCATCAGGACCTTCACCACTGCTCTAACCTCTGTCTTTAATCCCTTCATGAAGTTCCCCTCCAGCACAGTATCGGACAAGCGCTCAACCCTGCTGGCCAGATGCTCAAATCTCTCTCGGTAGTCCGCCACAGACCCCTCCTGCACTAGAGCAAAGAACTGCTCGTAGAAATCTCCTCCCCGGTCGGTTTGGAAATGCTCTATCAAGCTGTCCTTGAATTCTTCGCAGCTTCGGATAGGCCTCCTCTGATCTCTCCACTGGTACCAAGAGAGTTCCTTCCCTTCCAGACACAAGCTCGCTGCCGATAATTTCTCCTCCTCCGTCAAGCCGTTAACAGCAAAGTACCTCTCCACTTTGTAGATCCACCCATAATGTGGAATATGCAAACTAGAAGACGGCATGCCCCCTTTGAACAAGACAAATGCAAGTTCAGCCATGGGTCCTTCGTCATTCTTATTTTAGTGTCCCAGTTTCCATTGCCATTTTATAGTGCTCGCAGTCCACCTCTCTTCCATTTCTTTCTTTGCATAGACCCACCATAAACGCAATCAAGAAAGTCAGCTTCCACCATCATGCATGGAGTACTTGAGTCTCAATGAGGTCACATACATCAATCGCATTGTGGAACTTCTGAATACAAAAACCTTACTGCTACAAATAATCAAGCAATGACAGTAAATATGGCATTAGCAAATACTGACTTCATGTACCAACCAGTTATTAGGGCCTGACAGTTTGAGACATCTATACTGCACGATGAAAGATATTCAAAACAATAAGTTTTCGTATTAGAGCCACATATGCAGTATGGTGTAGTGCAAGCAATTCAAAACAAAAAGTTTATCACGTTATCAACCAAATAGTGAACATCAAAGTTCACAAATTAGAAAGTAGGAAAATACTTCAACAATGGCAAATACTTAATGAAACTTCATCATCGTATTCGGCTGTAAAACAATAAAGGAAATCAGCAATTTAATTTAATTTACTAAATTATGATGTAGCAAGCATTTTAACTGTATTAGTTCGAACTCCAGAAGAAAACTTGTTTAAAAGCGCTTACCAATGTGGAGGTGAAAATCATCCAATTGCTTCTGTAAGTGAGCATGTAACTGGTTGATCTTATAGGCTAAACTCCACAGCTCCCATGTTTGACATGTCAAGCTTAATTCCCTGACAAATTGAAAAAGTTAGTACCATAATTGATCGGGTCCTCCTCTGTAGCTAATTTGTACATGGAAATTAACAGTAATTATTTACATATAGAAGTTATTCCTCAGTGGAAAAAATAGGCCAACATTATCAAATCTCACAAATTAACCAAATTCATTAGTTAAGAGAGTTAGTTTCATTTTGGACAGTTTTCTTACTACTTTTTAAAGCAACTTTATAGTACAAAATTTTTAACTTTTTACTAGAAAGATGCTTTAAGAAACAGGAAGAAAGTCGTCCCAAACGAAGCCTTAATCAAGCTTAGAAGTTATTTGAGAAAAAAAAAAAAGTAGATGACATAAACTTGCTTGATACTCATTGCAACCATGCTAGTGATTTGAGAAGAACATGATATAGAACTTCTGATCATCCAGTAGCAGGCTATTTGGATGTTTTCCTTCATTACAGCCAATGCTCCATCATCCAGTGTCACATATTGCATTGGGAGAGCTTCAAACTCAATCACTATTTTTGTTACATCCACCATTCCCTCAGCCAAAGATCTCAAAGATTCCAACCAATGCTGATGTAATTCATCAGCTCCAAAAATTCTAGCAAGTCCTTTTAGCATAGCTAATGATAAGGCCAACACATCAGTTTGAAAAAGCCTGGCGATGAGCCAAAAATCTCCATGGCACTTTGCTAATGCAGCAAGAACTAAAACAACTTTTCCAGCCCAAGAATGGTTCCCCAGTAGTTCTAGCACAGACATTGTTGTTGCATGTGAAGACCGATCTTTGGAGCTACTAAGCAACATCTGTGATCAACCGTTTAAAGATTTTCGTAAAATTGTAGGAAATGGACAATAATTGGAAATAATTTAATAAAAAATCAAATCCATTCAACATTTCCTTAGATTAAAAGGTTCGTACTAAAACACCTCACTTGAGACTTGATGAACCAGCTGCCATTGCTCTTTTTGGGCATCGGCGTTCCCAATGTCATGTTGGATTCCAGAGCAAAACTTCTCCGACTGAGAATTTTCATGGTTAGCAAGTTTCAGGAGACAAGCTTTTACCACAGTGGGAGCCTTGATTTTACAGAGAATCTCTTCGACGATACGGAGTAATAGATGAGAATCAACTTGACGGCCATCAGGCACATGAGTCTCCAGAATATTGCTCATCAAAATGTCTTCATGGAAGAATTGCGAGTTGGACTTCATCGTCAACTAAAAAATACCCAACATAAACTGAATTGATGCTGGCCGTCGATCAGGAGGGATTTACAATTCTTAAATTCTAGGGCTCAAAGCCTCGGAGCTATTAACAAAGAAAGCGGATGTAAATTCACACAAGAACCTGAAAGGTATGAACTTATTTCCAGACACGTCAAATCGAAAGATTCAACACCACGATACCTAGTCCCTTTATCTTTCTCAAAGCGATTGGCTTTCTTCAGAAAATGTGAGCCAAATCCATTGAGATTTCAAAACATTTGATAGTGGAAGAGTTCGTAATTTGTTCGAATTGCTTAAAGAGTTCAAGCAGTCGTTTTTTTCCTTTTTTTTTTCTTGGGGTTCTGGATAGTACTGCCGGAACGATTAAAGGACTGACTGTGAGCTCTAAAGATCTCTACTTTGATCAAATTTCGGCAGTGCAGCATTTAGATTCGAATTCGATATGTAATTGCTTTACTATCTCCCAAATTAAGCGCTTTTGCAGGCAAATGGAATCAGAGCTTCACCATTCGTCAAGGTAATGCTGGTTCCTTACAATTTTCCAGAGCTTTTTTTCGGGTTTGCTCTCACGGGCAGAATGCTCCTTGCATAAAGATTAAGGGAAATTTACATACATACCATTGTATTTCATGCTATTTACATAATTAATATTCAAAATATTAATAGTGCATGCCTATCACTCATATACAATTTTAATATCAAATATATCACTTCTAAATTCATTTATAACATTCATACCATCCTATAAACTTTAATATTTCATTACATGCACCCAAATTTATTCTATGAGTGATAAGCATGTAATATTAATATTTTTGGTGTTAGATATGTAAATAGCATGAAATAAAGTGGTATGTATGTAAAACCCCCGATTAAGAGACTCATCAGAATGCGCTATGTCATCCATGCGCTCAGTATTGTTGGTACCGCTTGGCACCACTGCTCAGTACTACTAATATGATGTATTTTGATTGGTCTCTGAACGATATTCTGCGTCCGCTCAGTACTACTAGTTGGTCTTACATATAGAGCTTAATTCGCCTAATATTTAAAATAAATATAATATAAATTATTGATATAGTGCATTTATTTAAATACAAATTTGAAAAAATTTAAACCATCCTATTTATTCTTTAATCAGAATAGATTAACATTATTTTTTCTATTCATAATAGCACCTTTTTAACAAAATTATTAATTGATTTAAAAACAATTACTATAATTTTTAAAGGTTTTTATTTTTCTATAATAATTTTATAACTATTTTAAGAGCATGAATAACTATTCCAAATAAGTTTAAAGTACCTTTATTATTTTGAATTCAAATAATAGTTTCGAAAATACATAAATATCAATAAATATTTGTGATAGATAAGAAAATTATTTCAGAAAGTTATAAATAAAAATATAGTTTATCATATTTTATAAATAAAGCAATAAATTTTATAACATGCTTGACATTATGATATTATTTGAATTTCTTAAAATTTTAGTATGATTGTTTGAATTTGCTAGAAAATATCACAACAACGAGTGTGAGGATTGTATTACCTTCTTCATTTATGGTGATTGTAGTGTGTAAATATTCGAGATGTGACAAAATTTATAAGGCTGACTCTCTGGTAATGATATATATTGTTTATTTAGGTTTGAATATAGTATTTGTATTCTAAGCCCTAAATTCAGAACATCACTATATATATTATAATACATATTAAGAACTTGTTTGAACCTTCTTTAAACCACCTTCAGTTTCGAATTATGATTAAATAATGATTGATCATTCTTAAAACTATAATAAAATAATATTCGAATAATGATCGAACAATCTTCAATGATGATTTGAATAATCTACAAAACAATTTAAATGATAATAGAACCATGATCAAAGATGTTTGATCATAATTTGAAGGCGTTCAATCACTATTCAATCAATATTCAAAAAATGTTCAAAGATTTTTTGAATCATGGTTGAAGATGATTCCATGACAGTTTGATCATTGACTGAAGATTGATCGTTCATGATTTGAATACTAATTGATTGTTGTTTGATCATTATTCGACAATTTTAATGGTTGATTAAAATTATATGATCTTGATTTGATTACGGCCTCATATGACACATGAGAATTCTATAAACTATACAAATATGAGGATTTTATTTTGCTCATTTAAATTATTTTGCTATATTTGTTTTAATCATAGCAAAGAGGCATTATAGTGCTCGAGTTACATGTAGAGTTGGAGTGATGGAGAAACTAGTTAGATAATTTTGGGGGCTTATAAATTTGTTGTCAAGGCTTAGAGATACCCTCTGTTTAATATTTTATGACTCTTACAATGTCATTCTATAGAGACCTGATTTGTTAATTATTACTAAAGATGGTTGATGAGGAGAAAAATGAAACTCTATTATGTTCAAAATTTGACATTTTTTAATTTACCATGATCACTGAGTTATACTTCAAAGAATCCCCACCTAACGATGAGTTTTAAAAGATGAATAGAAGCAGTAGATTGCATTAATATCACATAGATGGGGACAAAAAATTTTAAAATATAAACACAAAGAAAGCTTTTATGGAGTACATTGTGTCATATAATACTTTGAAACTTGTTTTATATTTCTTTATAGATGGTGCTCTTCTCAAAAATGCCAAATACAATTTGTTTTTATTGAGATGGTTGATTTACACAACTCTCCTTGGCCTATTGGTTGAGAGCTTTGGCTTCCATCTAAGAGGTTCAGGGTTCGAGTCTATGTGTATGCGTTGTGTGTGTGAGTTTGCCTTAAATGACCTAAATGTCCCAAAAAAAAAAAAAGATGGTTGATTTGGATGAAGATGATGAGACATCTTTTCAATCCCAAGGGATAGGTTGCCTTAGGAGGAAATAATTAGAGTGGCCTAAAGAAAGATATGGTGTGCTAGCTATGAAACACAAGCCTTGAAGAAGAATACCCTAGCCTATGCAGTATCACTATAATAATAGACTAACAAGGACATCCCAATGCTGGGGAGATGTGTTGAGTTTCTTGAGGAGAGAGCAACAAGGATGTTAAGTTGGAAGAACAACAAGGTACTCACTAAAAAAAGATTTTATATATTTGGTGGTGGATAAATATGTATATTTTTTTCATTATTTTAAATTAAGTAAAATATTTTTTTTTTTGAAATTTTGGCGGGACATTAACTCATAATTTGTTCATTACATATGACCGTTTGTCTTATGTTGGTGCATATAACTAATAAGAAGAACTTCAATAAGTTCATTATGCATACTCCCAGTTAGTAAGGTAGCAAACACCTCCATTTTTTAGAAGAAAGCAGGGGAGACATCAAAAGTGCAGTCAACAGTAAGTTAGATCATACCCATTTATGAATGGTCAAAGTAGGTTTTTGCATCATTTTATAGATGTTGAGGAGCTACCAGATTCGATTAAATGAATAATCAAATAAGGTTGGAGAAAAAATTAGATACTCCTATCAATCTTCCCCAAAGTTTATACATAAGGAGGAGTATGATAAGAATAAGGAGAGTGAGCCAGTGCCTATTACATATCCAACCATTCACATTGATGAAGTTAGGCATGAGGTGCAAAAGGAACAAGAGATATAGGAGGAAGTGAATGTCATTAGAGATAAATTCCTTAACATTGTACCTATATGACATGAGGTCTATAAGGTTGTGGATGTTAGCTCATCTTTTGACATTATATGTAAGTGTGATATACAATTGTTAGGATTTAAAGGAGGATGCAAAAGAATAAAAAAATATTTGATTGAAATTTTCATAGATCTGCTAAAAAAGATTCATAAACTCATATATCCATGAAGCATTGATCCTCTTTACTGATCAATTGATGTGGAGCAATTCTCCTCCTTCAAGTCTTAAATGTTAGGACTAATTCAATACTCGAAAGAGGAGATAGGAGTAGGCAATGGAAGCACAATTAATACAGTTTCAACAATTATCATATAACAATATGATAAATCTTTTAATCTATTAAAGTTAAGGTTTCATTATTTGAATAATTTTTATACTATATTCAATATTTTTCTTTCTGTAATCCATCAATTCTTTATGTAGTT